TAGGGTTTTAGGGTTTTAGGGTTTTAGGGTTTTAGGGCTTTAGGTTTTAGGGTTTTAGTGTTTAGGGTTTAGGGTTTTAGGGTTTAGGGTTTAGGGCTTAGGGTTTTAGGGTTTAGGGTTTAGGGACTTAAAGCCAGGAACCCTAAAACCCCCAAGCTCCCAAGACTTAAAGCCCGAAGCCCGAATCAACCCAGACGAGGCAAAAGCGTCATCGGAGAGGTCCGTTGGCAAGGTCGAGGTGGTCACAAAGGTGATCATCACCCCCAGGGACAGCACCAGGAAGAAGGAGAGCTTCGCCGTGCGCTTGAGCCACCTCGCCTGCTTCTAATTTGACGAGGTTTTGGGTCTTGGGTGTAGATATCAGACTGAAGATGGCGGAACCCTAAGCCCTAAAACCCTAAACCCCTAACTCCCTAACCCCTAAACCCTCAGCCCTAAACCCTAAACCCCTAAAGCCCTAAGCCCTAAAGCCCTAAACCCTAACTCCCGCAAGGCTCCTGCCAGGAGCTACTGCAACAAAGGACCGGCTCCCAGCTCTCTTGAGTCCCAAGAGACGGTTGAAAAAAAAACCGAAACCTTAGGGTTTAGGGTTGAGGGTTTAGGGTTTGGGGTTTGGGGTTCAGGGTTGGTTTAGGGTTTAGGGTTTTGGGTTTCGAAATCCCCCAAAAGGCCCCCGTACTCGGGGTGCGCTGGAGCGAACAGCTTGGTTTGAGGTTTCACCCTCCATGCCTATCCGTAGCCCTGAACAGCGATCCCCAGAAGTTGAGAAACTACCAGCGCCTACAGCAAAGCTAAAAGGCGTCTGAAATTTTAGGGTTGGTGGTTGAAAACTCCCTAAGCCCGAAACTCGGGACCCTAAACCCTATACCCTGAACCCTAAATCCCCAAAACCCTAAACCCGAGGACTAAGGGAAGGACCTTCTCATCGAAGATATCTGCCAGAGTCCAGGCGCAGCGTAGCAGCAAGAGTCCCTGCACGAGGCTTCGGATATAATAAAGGGCCTGGACACGTGGGATAGGGGGCTCTAAGGAGATTAGTGCGGAGTATTCTTCCGACCCCTATTTGAGACTGTGGTTTCCGGCTAGAGCCCTGAACCCTAAACCCCTAAACCCCCAAACCCTAAACCCGTAAACCCTAAACCCTAAACCCCTAAACCATCCTAAACCCTGAGCTCTAAGGCCTGAGACGTTCCGGGCAATTCAAGCTGGCGGCTCGAAAACCCCCACACCGGTACGCGAGAAAGCCACAGCGCCAGAGGCAAAATTGCAAAAACAATCGTCATTGTGGTCATTATCATTGCGGTTTAGGGTTTAGGGTTTCAGGGTTTAGGGCTTCAGGGTTTCAAGGTTTAGGGTTTAGGTTTTAGGGTTTAGGTTTTAGGGTTATTCTGACCTTGACCATCGTCGCAGTCTCATCACTACCACATTAATGCGAGAAAAAGTGCAGCCCCTGCAAACACAAAACCGTGTAAAGATGTAATGCTTCTGAAAACAGCAGATTCTAGGCGAGCAACGCGGAGCGTAAGAAGACTGATGCAAGAACTAGCAGCTAGCCATAGCCAGCAAAGCAAATGCAGAAGCCTGAATCCCTGAATCCTTAACAGTTAGAAATTGGGGTTTGGGGTACTGATGCTATAAATAGAGCAAGTATTGGCGGCTTAGGGTTTAGGGTTTAGGGTTGAGGGTAATCATTCAGGCGCTTACATGAGTAGCTACGCGTAAGAACCAGAAGCGGTCCACGAAAGCCAGAAATGCTGAGGATTTCACGAATGCGAAGACATGGAAAACCACGACTTGATAGCAAACGCCATATATCAAGAATGATGGAAGCACCAACAACAAGCATGACAACGACAGGCATCACTGCAATAACGATGACGAACCTAGTGGCAACAAGGACGCCCGCAACATCACAACAAGAAGAACAACAACAAAAAAAGAGAGGAACCAGCAGCTGCAGTCACTGCGCTGCAGGAAACACCGATTGTAGCAATCACTAATGATACCACAATAGGCCAGACCAATCTCTGAGGATGCCTAGACAGGGACAGGATAACCCTCGTTTGCAAGCCCTACGCCCTAGACCCGAAACCATACACCAATAGCCTTGGGCTCTATGATAGAAACATGCACCTGGTTGCAAAAAGCTCACCCCAGCCACTAAAAACCCTCAGAGATCTATGCAAAAAACATTCATGAACTAACCCCCTAAACCCTAAACCCCTAAACCCTAAACCCCCTCAACAGTTGAAGGCCGCTCCTCCAACGAGCTGGCTTTGGGGAGGCGATCCGAACGCGACAGCGCTTGGATGCGCTGCTTCAGGGAGCGATGATCCGACAGGCCTTGGCTCCCCAAAAAAGGGGGTTTAGGGTTCAGGGTTTGGGGTTTGGGGTTTAGGGTTTAGGGTTTAGGGTTCAGGGTTTAGGGTTCAGGTTCAGGGTTTAGGGTTTAGGGTTCAGGGTTTTCGGCTTAGGGTTTAGGGTTTTAGGGTTCAGCGGGAGGGCAACAAAAGCTGACCGAGGCCTCGGATTCAGGCTTACACTCAGAACAAAGCAGCGACAAAGAGCAAAAACATGAAGTGGGATCAAGGCTTGAGATTTAGCGTTGAGGGCTTGGGATGAGGCCTTGGGAAGTTGAGTTGGGGATCACTAATCACTTGGTCATGTACCAGGAAGAATCGGATGTCAAATAAACCCTAAAACCTACGTCTTAAAAACCATTTGCTCATGTTCCACGAAGAATCGGATGCTGTAGACATCATCGGACTTTAGCAGCTCGTAGGTTGCCAGCCAGAGCCTGCGAATTCGGGGTTTAGGGCTACGCAGGGTTACTTAGACGTCAAAAGCGCTAGGACCCGGGGCTTGAGATTAGTGTTCAGCTTTGTGCAATGTAGGGTTTAGGGTTTAGGGTTTACCATGTAGTGTTAAAGTTCGGAGCTTAGGTTTCAGGATTGGGGGTATGGGATGTAGAAAGGAAGGGCTTGGGTGAGCTCCGGCCTCTTATCGTTTTTCACCACCGGCGGGGATTTCTTCATGTGGTCGTACTTCCGGGATTCCGCCAGCCATCGGTCGAGATGTTGGAGCAGGGTGGCCCGCACATCTGCGAACCTGGAAGATTCGGGGTTTCGGGTTCTTAAAGCCCGAAGGATGCAAGAAGAGATGCTCACATGCCGGCAGAAAGGAAACATCCGGGAGACAATGATTCACGCGATGGTGCGGCCTCGGCTATGGTCAAACAACCAAGGGGCTGCACAGCCTTTGGCAGGCCGTCCTTGCTCAACCTCACTTGGGGACGGCCTGCCGGGCACTGGCTGCGAATCAGCGCAACTTCACAAGGATCATCACCCCTACCATGTGCATTATTGCGAGGTGTCCTGCTGGTCTCCCATCGACTATGACCATATTATTCATCACCGTGTCTTTACCCTGCAACATGAATGCTGTTGAGACGATGCAGGCGCTGGTCCCCGTCATATGAAAAGTAACACACATACACGCGCAAACACGCCGACAGACACACTGACACAGGACCTACAACCCCAAATCTCGGAAGACTGAACTCCAAACCCTAAACCCTAAACCCTAAACCCGAAACCCTAAAGCCTAAACCCTAAACCCTAAACCCTAAACCCTAAACCCAAACCCGAAACCCTAACGACCAAACCCTACCGGCCCCGAGACCCCTTCAGGGCTTACCCAAGAAGCACAGGAAGCCTGGGCCGCAAAACCCGAGTCCCAATTGAGGCCCTTGGCCCAGAAGAGCGCCCTGAGGGTTTAGGGCTTGGGATCCAGAAGGTTCAGGAGTTAAACCCAAGCCTCATCCCCCGAAGCCCTAAACCCTAAACCCTAAACCCCTAAACCCTAGACCCTAAACCCGAAACCCGAAACCCTAAAAACCCCAAACCCGAAACCCTAAACCCGAAACTCGAAACCTTAAACCCCATCTGCTTCGCCCGGGCCTGATGTTTTCCTGTGGATCCCACAAAGGAGGCCCTAAAGGAGTCCTTTACGGAGCCCTTTTGGAGACCCCTGTGTTAGCGGCACTTAAACCCCGAACCCCCTTAGACCTAAACCCTAAACCCCAAGCCCATAAATCCGAAACCCTATCTGCTTAGCCCGGGCGCCTGAGGTTTGGAACTCGGCCTCGGGTGGTGGGCCTCTCAACAGCGGCACCTGCGCTTTTGAGCGAAACAGGGACTTGACTTCAGAGGCCTTAGGATGGCTTTAGGACTTAGGATGGCTTTAGGATTTAGGGTTTAGGGCTCAGGGTTTGGGGCTTAGGGTTTAGGGTTTAGGGCTTAGGGTTTACGGCTTAGGATTTCAATTTGGGGTTTATGGCTTTTAAGCTTAGTGCGTAGGGGTTTAGGGTTTAGGGTCTAGGGTCCTTGCAAGTCGGGTATGAGGAGTAGCGTTTCAACTAGGATCCCTTACCGAACGAAGTTCACCTGTTATTTTGATGCAGCATTCGACGGACTATCCTAGGGTTCACAATCCATGGCCGTCTATATCAGGAGCCCTCAAAGCGATCCCAACCCAACCCTAAACCCTAGACCCTAGACCCTAAACCCTAAACCCTAAACCCTAAACCCAACCCTAAACCCCCGAAGAACTCCCTCCTGCTTCGGTCCACCGGCTTCCTTCACAGTGATGACAATGTCATCCCAGCCGTTCCAGACCGCAAAGTAACACAGCTTCTCCCACCTCGGCTGCCCATTAAAGAGTCCCCGAGATACCCTAAATCCTCGGCCCTAAACCCTGACTCCGTACCTCTTTAAGCCCATGAAGGAGCCCTTATAGAGGAGCCTGAGAAGGAGCCCGTAGACGAAGCTACTGTAAGGACTCTGAATTGCCACCTAGCCACTGCCGCGTCCACTCCTCCTCAAGCTGCGCCCAGTCCTCACAAGCCCTCAAAGCCTCGATCCTTGCTTGAAAAATCCACAAAAGCAAGCCCTTTGGGATTTTAGGGAGTATACTTACTACCAAAAAAAGAAGACAAAGCCTAGCCCTGAACCCTACGCCCCCCCCAAAACCTAAGCCCTAAACCCTAAAGCCTACAAACCCCCCCAAAACCCCCCAAGGCCCAAAGCCCTAGGCAGTGCGTTGCTAAGGGTCCCATCCTCCAACCTGCTGGTATTGACGGTGGCCTCCTGGTCAAGAGCGTGAAGGCTGGGATTTAGGGTCTTAGGGCTTGGGAGTTAGGATTTAAGGCTTAGGGTTCAGGGTTTAGAGTTTAAAGGTTTATTTTTTTTAGGGCCTTTTGGATGACTGCATGAGCTTGTCCCCCAACCCTTGCGGGGTTTAGGGTTTAGGGTTTGGGGTTTGGGGTTTAGGGTTTAGGGTTCAGCAGCTCCGGATCGAGCCGGCTCCAGCCGAGCTCGCCATTTCGATCCTAGAAAAATACCCAGCCGGCCAGGAACACTGAAAAACATATCTTTTGATCATCCTAGAGCTTAGATCCTAAATCCAAAAACCTACATCCTGAACCCTAGAGCTTAAACTTCACACTCCCAAACCCTATGATAGGAAACCTAATTAGGCCCTGAACCCTCAACCCTGAACCTAGACCCTGAACCCTAAGCCTTGAACCCTAGGCCCTGAACCCGAAAACTTGAGCCCTGGACCCTAAACCCTGAACCCTCGCCCCTGAACCCTGAACCTTGAGCCCTAGGCCATGAACCCTAAACCTCGAGCCCTGAACCCTATAGGCCCTAGACCCTGAGCCTTCCTTGATTTTGGCGATTTCTTCGTTGAATTTGGCGAAAAAACATGTTCAACGAAAACGTCGCCATATTCAACGAAGGGCCGGCATTCGTTGAATTTAGCGGAAAAAGGAGTGAAGAGGAACTCGCCATACTCAACGACGAGTATGGCGCTTTCTTCCTTGAATTTGGTACCAAAAATGCCAGATTCAACGAACAAAAATCGCCGTATTCAACGAAAAGGCCGGCCTTTGTTGAATGTGGCGATTTCTCCGTTGAATTTGGTAAAAGGAAGGCGCCATACCTTAACCCTAAGCCCTAGGATTCATCGCCTTATGTGATCGGTCATAAGCCCTCAACCCTGGACCACAGGGGAACGGTGCAAGAGGCTAGGACTAGGACTGCCTTTGTTTTGAGGCTTGCCTTTCTTTGAGGGATGAGGGTTTACCCCTCCAGGTTCGGAGGCTGTGTGGGTTTGGGGTCAGCCCATTGCTTAGGGTGGTCTGAGTTTAGGACTCAGCGTTTGAGGTACACCCTAAACCCTAAACCCGCAGGCTCCGGAGATGAATGTGAAATTGCCCCGAAAGAAGCGGGGCCGTCCTTCGAGAGCTGATCTGCCACATGGTTTATCAGAATTTCCGTTGCCATGCTGACATCTTCGTCTTCGATGGAAAGATCCTCTGGATTCGCGTCACCTCTTTCATGGTGTGACTGTAGCGTTGCCCTTATCACAGCGTCATAAAGCCAAAGTTGCTTGTCTACTCGGTGCTCCTTCACCTTGTGTTTGAGGCTTGCACGTACGCAGGCGAGTGCAGAACCGACCATCGTGTCGAAAAGGATCAAGCGGTTCAGTGCCTCAGAATGCTTCCGAAGACGCTCGGCAGCAACGTGAAGGTCATACCTCGTCGGTGCAGCTGGCGTCGTGGCTCCTTCAAGGAGCACCTCGGGTTCATCATCTGGTGCTCCGTCGGGCGCTTTTTCGGCAGGTATAAGCTCCGGCCTGCTGTCCAGCAAGATGAGAGGAATACCGTTGGTCACACAGTTCAACGCCTCGTACTTCAGGACATTCACGTCCCCACCGGTCCACAGGCCCAAGACGGGAAGTGAGTTGCGGAGAGATGATACAAAGATGTTCTCAAATTGCACGGCCGCGCGTGGGTCGTGGAGTCTCTTCTCGTCCAAACATTCGAAGACAACGTAGGCAGCAGCGCCCTCTACCAGCCGATGGCGTGGCCACAGCACCGGGTCCACGCCGTAGGATTGAGTCAGGGCAGGGATGAAATCAGCCTTCCTCCATGTGTTATTGCTCTGCAGTAGCTTTTGCTCGAAGCTGTTGGGCTTCAGTTTCGTCGGTATATAGTAATTCCGAGCATTCTCGACAATGAGCAGTTGAAACGGACACGAAGCTCCGAGACTATTCTGAATGGGCTCGCTGACTTCAGCAAAGGCCTGGCAACAGAGGGCAAACGGCACCATGCGGCTTTACACATAAGTGTATATTGCCATCGGTCAACATGTACTAGCTGATCGTGTTGCCTAGGTGCCGCACTGTCAAAAGCAATACGTGTATACCTATATCTACATCTACATCGAAGTCACCGTCTATGTTTGTATTTTCTACATTTATATCTATAATCAATCATCTATATCTATACCTGTAAGGGTCTGTGTCTAGTGCTCTATGTACATTTATGTATATATGTCTACACTTATGCATATATATATATATGTATACAACTGTACGTTTTCGCATACCTACAAAAGGTATATGCAAGACAAGCATAACATTCCTGTAACATTCCTATCCTGAGAAAAAACCTTCGTTTCGGGTCCGAGCTTTGGGGAATGCAGGGTGAGATTCAGGTATTTGAGAATTGGTGGCTTAGGTAGGGCTTTGGGGCGGCTGCAGGGTTTCGGGTTTGGTTTAGAGTAGGAAATCTTCGTAACCCAAGAGCCGTGGTGAGGCTGCAAGTGCTCCGGCCGACGATCAACGCGTTCGTTTGCATGGCCACAGGAAGGAGCACGTCGCGGGCCACCATGTTCCTGTAGAGGCCGAGTGCCCTACAGCTCAAACCTTCTAGCAAAAGCGATTGCACCCCGCAATCCTTGCACCTGTCCATATACAAGTATATACAGTCTACCCCAAAAAAACATTTCAGATAGCACGGCCCCTATGCTGCAGCTAGGATTTAGGGCTTGGTGGTTCAGTCATGGGTCGCTGTTCAGCTTTGCTTAAAGGATCCTGGGAAATAGCAACTCGGGCTAACAGCTTTAACTGCGAGTAGCTCCAATGAGATTCGGTCCTCCAGTACTTACTTACCCTAACTCTAAACCCTACACCCTAGACAGTGAACCCTAAACCCTAAACAGTAAACCCTAAACCCTAAACACTAAACAGTAAACTCTAAACCCTAGTCTTCCAGTACCTACTTACGAAGTCCCCTGATCCTCCAAGCCTGTGGGGTATAGGGCTTCAGACCTCAAGATGCATCACTATCGGTTTAGGGGTTTAGGGGTTTAGGGTTTCGGGTTACCTGCACTAGGGGTTTAGGGGTTTAGGGGTTTAGGGTTTCGGGTTACCTGCACTAGGGGTTTAGGGGTTTAGGGTTTAGGGGTTTAGAGTTGAGGGTTTAGGGTTTAGGGTGACCTGCGCGATACTTCCATTGAGGCTTCAGTTCTTGCAGGGGGTCCCCCTCTTCTGAAACGAGGGAACCCGAGCTGCGAGTGAGGGGTCTGGGCACTTTTCTGATTCAGGGTGTACCCTTCCGAAGATTAGGGCTCAAGGATCTTCTTTAGGGTTTAGGGTTTTGGGTTTTGGGTGTTGTTTTTAGGGTTTAGAGTTTAGGCTTTTAGGGTTTAGGGTTTACGGGATCTTCGCCCGCATCTCGGCTCGGGATCGAACGCAATTTCCCGCAAAGTGCAGCAACAAAAATGCACGAGCCAAAAACTCTGCCGGTTTCATTGTCTGTTAAGGACCAGTACTAAACCAACCCGCTGAACACATAAGCCACGAAGATGTGGACCCTCCTGACTTCTTCGTCTTGGAACGCGTAGCAAAGCCCGCTGCGAGCGCCTACATCCTCAAGCAATCAGAACGTACAAAAGAGCCGCTGAATTCTGGCTGGATTCATCTGCCGCTCGACCTTCTCCTCATGACCAAAGAGTTCTGGAACCGTCTTGGTGGGCAAGAAATCTTTCAGTCGAGACTGTCCTTTCCAGTAGCTATGGCCACAAAGAGACGGAATCAGCCAGATCACGAGCCTCAGCTGCATCACAACAGCTCAGGTTTAGCGGTTCGGGGTGCAGCTTTTGTAAACCCACGATATCCGAAACCACTAAACACCCCCAGCGAAGCTGGAACCCTTGAAAGCAAGCTTTTTACACCTCGATCCCAAGAGGTCCCAAACCCTACACGGGAGCTTCCGAAACTTAGGGGTACCTTATCTTGGGGGTCCCTTCATAATAAGGATCCTACGATTTTGGGTGCTGCACTAGGGTCCCCTTAAACCCGAAACCCTAAATCCTAAAACATATTAGGGTGCTATATCTATTAGGGTCCCCCTAATTTCGGAAGCCCCTACAGATGCCTCACCCCTAGACCCAGAAAAAGGGATCCTCGGGAGCTTTTTCAACAATTTAGGGTTTAGGGGTTTAGGGTTTAGGGTTTTAGGGTTTAGGGTTTAGGGGTTTAGGGGTTCAGGGGTTTAGGGCTTAGGGCAACCAGTTTTTGAACGAACAAAACGATTCTGGACCCGAGAAGGTTGACCCAAAGCATGGCGAAACCAATCGCAGAATGTGCATGTCCAAAAAAGACCGAAGAAAGCAAAGATCCTAAACCCTAAGCCCCAAGAACCAAACATTAAACCCTAAACTGCAAAACCGACAAAACCAAAAACAAACACAACAAAAAACTAAAAACCCGAAACTCTAAACCCCTAAAAAACCCTAAACCCAAAAAAAACCTAAACCCTACACTCCCCAAAAACCCTAAAACCCCTAAAAACCCTAAAAGCCCTAAAAACCCCCTTAAAAGCCCTAAAACCCTGAAAACCCTAAACCCTACACCCCTAAACACCCCAAAAGCCCTAAAAACCCTCTAAAACCCTAAGAAGCCAGGAAAAAACACCAAAAACCCTAAAAAAACCTTTACAAAAAAATAGTAAAATACAAATTTGCAAAAAGAATAGTAAAATACAAACGAAACCCGAGCCTTGGGGCTTAGGCTCCTGGATGCCAAGCGCCTCACGGACCTTCGGCATGCGCTCGGCCGTGAAATGCAAAGCCTGCCTGGGCTTTTTGGGGTGTGTGTTTTTGATTTTTTGGTGTGGTTTCAGGGGGTTTTAGGTGGTTTTAAGGGGTTTTCGGGGGTTTGAGGGTTTAGGGTTTAAGGTTGAGGGCTTTGTTTCCTCCTTTCTCTCCCATCCCACGCCGCATAAGGTGGCCAACCAACCCTGTTTCTTTTTTGGGGCTCAGGGTCAGGGCCCAGGGGCAGGGCTTTGCCGGAATCTGCTCACTGAGTCCCAAGGACCAGAGCTTTGGCTTTAGGTACTTAGGGAGGCGTTACCCTCGGCCTTTCGCCATCGATCGCGAGGGGCTGAATACAAGCGCCGCCCCATCCCTAAACCCTAAACCCTAAACCCTGAACCCTAAACGCTGAACCCTAAAACCCTAAACCCTAAACCATAAAAAAAACTACAAATCCATGTAGAACTCAGGGGTTGAAGTAGCAAGGGCCTTCACGTGCCAGGGAGCCTTTGAAGGAGTGCACCCTGAAACACATGGGTAGTTCTCTAAAGTAGGGTCCCTTTTAGGTCCCCAATATAGTGCGGCACCCTTATAAAAAGGATCCTACAAGGGACCCTAATTTGGAGAACTACCCACGTAAGTCCGCCTTCTTACACCTTGGCCAAGGCTACAACCAGCCCAGACCTTCAGGGGCGCAAGGCTTTAGGGTCTAGGGCTTCTGGTGGCGGGTTTTGCCTTTTTAGGGTTTAGGGTTTAGGGTTAAGGCTTTAGGGTATGGGGCTTCTGGTGGCGGGTTTTGCCTTTTGAGGGTTTTTTTTTAAGTGCAGGGGCCCTTCTTCTTTTAGGGTTTAGGGTTTAGGGTTTATAGGGTTTAGTGTATTGTTTAGGTCTTGCCTGGCTGACTGGCTGACTGTCCCTCAATCTGCTGAGGAGCTTGTTGGTGAAATAGATGACCTGGCGGCCTACTTTATGCGGACATGAGGGTTGGCGCGAAGCTGCTTTGCCTTCGAGGTCCCTACTCTACAAAAGCAGAAACACGTACTAGGAAACTCTCCACTGTAATTTAGGGGCCTTCAAAACGGGGTATAGTATACTATTATCATATCTATGGCTGGGACCCTGAGGAGTAGTTTTGGTAAATCGGGCAACTGCCTACTAAAGCTCACAAACCTGGTGACTCAACGCTACTGCTGGTGGAACTGGGCTCTGCAACTTAACCCTAAACCCTAAACCCTAAACCAAGGTTTTAAGGTCTCATTGTGTTTCGGCCTTGGTCTCGTGGAGAAACTCCCCCACGTTGTAGGTCACCCTGGAGACCATGTGCTGCAGACCTTGGAGCATCTACCCGAAAGCTCCCTCAGAAAAAGGGGGAAGGGGTTGGTTTCGGATTCGGGCTCAGCAGGTTCTGGGGGATCGGTTTGGAACTTCGACTGTGGCGTCGAGCATTGGAGGGTTGAGTTCGTGCGTCATACTGGTTGAAGATTCAACCTCTTTCGGGGCAGGGGTAGGGTGCGAGGATGCGGTTGCAGCATGAGCATGTCGTACAGGCATTGCCGAATCGACAAACACGGGAGAATAACCCTAAACCCTACACCCCTAAACGCAAAACCCCAAACTCCTAAATCCCTGAACCCCTAAACCCTAAACCCTAAGGTGGCGGTAATGCTCTTCTCCAAAGCCTAAACCCTGCACCCTGCACTGGAGCTTCAGACTCTCATTGCAGGACCAGATAGGATCCCTCACTCCACCGACAGCGGATCACAGTGCATCCCAAGCATTCCATCCCAATGCTGTGTCTTCTCTGATCCTGAAACAACCTCAAACCTTTAGAACTCGAAACTTGAGGAACCTATACCGGGGAGCCTGTTATAGAACCCTATACTACCCTTAAAGGGGACCCTATTATAGAACCCTATACCACCGCTAAAAAAAGGGTCGGTTAGGGGTTTAGGGTTCAGAGCTAGGGCTTCGGCTTGACAGTAGGGCCCAAGACCCTACCTGGCGCTTCCACACCCGCTAAAGTTGTTGGCAGGC